CCCCAAAACCCCAAAACCCCAAAACCCCAAAACCCCTTAAAAGCTGTAGCGAATAGAATACATAAAGATTTAAATATGAAAGCCATCATTCTTGTGGGAGGGTTCGGAACAAGACTCAGACCTTTGACTCTTTCCGTACCGAAATCAATAGTTGACTTCTGTGACAAACCTATTATGGTACACCAGATTGCAGCCTTAGCAGAGGCAGGAGTAAAGGAGATCATTTTAGCTATTAATTACCAATCTGATAAGATTCAAAAATATCTTGATGTATATGAGAAAGAATATGGAGTAAAGATCATCTGATCTAAAGAGGATGAACCCATGGGAACCGGAGGTCCTTTGAGACTTGCTAAAGATTTGCTTACGAAGGATAATGAGGAAGGCCTGTTCTTCTGTTTCAATAGTGATGTCATTTGTAATTTCCCACTCAAAGAACTACTTGAGTTCCACAAATCTCATGGAGGAGAAGGAACTCTTGTGACTACCAAAGTAGAGGAACCTTCAAGATTCGGAGTGATTCTTAGTGATGAAGCAGGAAAAATTAATGAGTTTGTTGAGAAGCCACAAGTTTTTGTAGGAAATGACATCAACGCTGGGTTGTACCTCCTTAACACTAGTATGATCGACAGGATTGAGGAAAGACCGACTTCTATTGAGAGGGAGATCTTCCCACAAATGGCAGCTGATGGGAAGCTTTATACCATCCCTCTTCATGGATTCTGGAAGGATATTGGTCAACCTCCAGATTTCTTAAAGGGCTCAGAGCTCTACCTCAACCATCTTGAGGAAAACAAGGATGAGAGACTTGCTCATGGAGATAATATTAGAGGAAGTGTAATGATTCATCCAACTGCAACTGTTTCAGAAGACGCCCTTATAGGTCCAAATGTTTCTATTGGAGAGAACGTAGTTGTAGAATCAGGAGCCAGGATCAAGAATAGCTGTATTTTCCCAGATACTAAGGTTTGCAAGAACGCTTTCATCTCAGAAACTATTGTAGGAAGAGGATCAACTATCGGAAAATGGTCAAGAATCGAGAACTTAGCAGTTATAGCAGATGACGTGGTTGTTAAGGACGAGTTGTTCATAAACGGTTCCAAGATTCTTCCTCACAAATCCATTGACAAGTCATATTACCAAAATGGAGATATTATCATGTAAACACGTAGCATATTTGAACTAATAAGATTTTAATTCAAATTTCAATAAAAGAGGAAGGGAGGGGTTTTGGGGTTTTGGGGTTTTGGGGTTTTGGGGTTTTGGGGTTTTGGGG